GATGGCAAGATCAAATCCACAGACAGGAAGTAAGCATCCTTACTTGTCAATGATAGATCTGGTCACTAAGAAAGCAAGAAGATCAGCTACTGTTGTTAAAATACACAATTTCAATTGGGCGGTTAAATTAATATATAAAAATTAGTAACCAGGTAGAAAACATATTGGGAAGACAGTCTTTATACCAGCAGGATTTTTTATTAAAAACAATGAATAAACCTATGACTTGAACAGAATCTAGATCAAGAACTCTATAAAATAAGAAAGAAGACTAAAATACAATCAGTAAATGGAAAGGATAGCACGTTCCTGGATTATTGGACTTAATATGAGGAAAAATGTCAGTTCTTCTCACTCTAATCTAGAAATTAACACAATCATAATCAAAATGATCATCAAAATCATTAAGGAAATATTTAAATCCAGTCACTAAGAATGTGATATTGACACAGAAAGAGACAAACTGATCTGTGGAAATGGGAAGTGTAGAAACAGAAGAAGGGCACACGTGTGTGTGCTGCATGCATGTGTGCGTATATGTGAGAGAGAGAGAGAATGTCTCTATAACGATATGCTAAAAAAAAGAGCATCACAGGTCGATGGAGAAAAGCTGACCCCAGGCCAATTACATCAGAAAGGGCAGCCATAGGCATTGAGAGGCTCACAGAGTCAAGCCCTGACTAGGGAATGGGCAAAGGGTACAATGAGAGGACACATCACAGGCAGCAGGGACTCCAAGTGGACCTGCCTCAAACACACTCAGATCCACAATCTGGATCACTGCTATTCAACAGAAACATAGTGTCAATCACATATCTAAGTTTTCTAGTAGCCACAAAAAAAAAAAAAAGGTGAGATTAAATTTAATGATATATTTTATTTAAGCCAATACATCCAAAGCATTATTATCTCAACATATAATCAATATAAAAAAGTTATTAGTTTTTCATATTTAGTTTTCAAAATCTGTTATGTATTTTCCACTCACCTGACATCTTAATTTGGATACTACATTTTCATCAGAAACACCTGATCTGTAGTTCGACTTCATATTTGTAGTTGAGAAAGGAGAACCACATGCCCAAGTTGTTCCAAACACACTTAAAAGTTTTCCAGTAATTGGATCAATTATCAGTTTTTAAACTTTAATTCGAATTAACCAAAATAAATAAAATTCAAAATTCACATCCTAAGTCACACTAGCCACATTTCAAGTGCTGAAAACCCAGTCATATGTGGCCAGTGGCTAATGAATTAGACGACAGAAGTCCAGAATCTTCCACTGCAACTCAAACCTCCAACGTCTGACACTGACCACCACACCTGATGGAGACTCAAAGTCACCATGACCTTTAATACATCTGGAATCAACCCCAAATTCCTCCATCTGTTGGTTAGGCAATCATGGGCAAGGTTCTTAAGCTCCCTGAGCTCCAGTTTTTGCATCTATAAAATAGGGATGATGCTGCCCATCTTGTGAAATTCTAAAGATTAGATGTAAAATTATCAATGAGGTCTGGCTCATAGAAGGCAATATGTTAGTTCTCTTCCCCTTGTATTTATATAGTATTTATGAAATGTTTTCCAATTTACTGTTTTATTTGCTTCTGACAACAGGATGGTGGGGCAAGTATTATTATCCCCATTTAAAAATGAGAAAACAAAGTTCAGAGATGTTAAGGGAACAGCTCAAAGTCATACACTGGTGATGGTGCAAGAATTCTAACCCAGTGCACCTGGCTCTGAGTCCATTGCTTCTCCCACTGCCAGCACAGCGTTCCAGCCTCAGGTGCGCCTCAATCTCCAGCTGCCTCCAGCCTACCATTCAAGAGGAATGTGGGGAGCCCTGGAGTATAGGTTCGCAGGGGTCCTTCCAGGCAGCCTGCCCCTGTCTCCAGGAAGACTCAGGTTCTCCTCTGCCTCTTCCTGGCAACTGGTTGGAGAAGTGGCTCAGGAGCCTTCGGAGCCTGGCCGTCTCCCAGTCTCACTGTGTAATCAGCACCCACTAACATCTCTCTTCAGAGAACAGAGGAAGGAACCAACGACCCCTCAAACAGGCAAAAGAAAAGGACCCAAGGGAATGAGTTAAGCTCATCTTCTATCAAAATGGATGCGGATGATCCTACTATTCTCTGGACTTACTAAGACAGGAGACTCCATTGGCCACCACCCCAAAGCCTCTGATGGAATTCTTCAATTCCACACGGCAGTGAGAATGAATGATGGACAACTACACACAGCAATGTGGTGAATCACAAGGGTAATGCTAAGCGAAAGAAGCCAAGCCCCCTAAATGGGGCACACTGGGTAATTTCATTTATGTGAAATTCTAAAAGAGTCAAACTAATTTATGCTTAAAGATTTTCAGGATAGTTGGGAGGTCAGGGGTAAATGCCAGGGTCAAGGGGCTTCTGGGGAGCTGGTGCTATTCTGTTACTGGCCCTGAGTGCTGGGCACATAATTATGTTTGTGAAAATTCATCATGTGTACTTTTCTGTTTAGTTATGCTGCAAGAAAAACTTTACGCTAACTTTCTGGGGTGATGGGAATATTCAATAAATTGATCTGAGTAGTGGTTATATGGGTATAGGTATATGTTAAATGTCACTGACCAGGTCACTAAGGTTATATTTGACTGTTTATAAATGAAACATAGGAAATTACCACCGCTCCCCCAAAAAAGAGCCTCAGGAATGTCATTTAATTTTTCCTCCTAAATTTTAAACAACTCTAACTTCACTAGTTAACTTAAAGGTCTTATAAAAAATTTAATTTATAAATATTAAATATGCATTTGAACATTAAGAAGGTGTCATGAAATCAAAATGACACTCTAGTATAAATATAGTGCTCTAAAATGTCTCTTAAATGTATTTATTATCTTAAGAGATGGTACTACACACCTTCCTACAAAGATACGTTGCTTAAGATAATATTTTACTTCCAAGCATTTTCCCCTCCCAATTGGAAGTATGAAAGAAGGCTTAGCTCGGGCAAAAATGCTCACAGATTTCAAACTTATAAGGTCAAATCAATGAGCCTTTAAATCAAAGCACTTTCCCTTTTATAAAACAATTAGCTCTTTGGGTTTCCAAAATAACGCAAGAGGGGGATCCCTGGGTGGCTCAGTGGTTTAGCGCCTGCCTTCAGCCTAGTACATGATCCTGGAGACCCAGGATCGAGTCCCCCATCGGGCTCCCTGCGTGGAGCCTGCTTCTCCCTCTGCCTCTCTCTCTCTCTCTCTCTCTCTCTCTCTGTGTGTGTGTGTGTGTTTCTCTCATGAATAAATAAACAAATCTTTTTTAAAAATAATTTTAAAAAATAATAATAATGCAAGAAAAACTCCCCCAGGAGATTGATGCAGAAAATTACTGGTTCCTTCATTTGTCTAATAATCTCAATATGCCAAATACTATATTTTAGCACCTGAGTATTTATTAATATAGAATCTTAGCAAGGTAAATTAAATTCCTATAAAATTTTTTTAATTCCTATAAATTTTATTAACTCAGGAACACTATGTTCAGGCTACTGAATGTCCTTAAAGTCTATGCAACAACCCACCTGAGTTCAGCATTTCAAGATCTGCTAAGGCCTAGAGGGTTGAATTTTATTCTGATGGCCAACCTCCCAAGGTCAACCGCAGAGAATATTTACACAAGAAGAAAACTTATCAACAATAATGTTGATTATCAACAATCATCAAAATAATCAACAATATTGTAACAACTTTGCATGGTCACAGATGGTGACCATGCTTATTGTGGTGAACATTTCGCAATGTATGTAATTGCTAAATCACTATGTTGTACACCTGAAACTAATGTAATACTATATGTCTATACTTCAATTTAAAAAAAAAATTTTTAATTTGTTTTAAAGTGGGACACCTGTGTGGCTCAGCGGTTGGGCATCTGCCTTCGGCTCAGGGCATGATCCTGGGATCCTGAGATCGAGTCCCACATCGAGCTTCCTGCATGGAGCCTGCTTCTCCCTCTGCCTGTGTCTCTGCCTCTTTGTGTCTCTTATGAATAAATAAATAAAATCTTTAAATAAATGATAAAAATTAAAATCTGCCTCCCTCAGAGGCATCTAACGTACTTTAAAACATTAACAACAACAAATTTCACCAAAACAATTAAACAATAGCACTGATAAAGTGTCACGTGTCCTATGAGAAATGAAGAACTCCTTAAACATGAACTAAACTCCAGTATCCTTCATGGAGCCTGCTTCTCCCTCTGCCTGTGTCTCTGCCTCTCTCTCTCTCTCTCTCTCTCTCTCTCTCTCTCTCCTGTCTGTGTATTCTAATGAATAAATAAATAAATAAATAATCTTTTTTAAAAAAGGAAAAGATAATTATTAAAAAAAAAAAAAAAAAAAGGGCAGCCCCTGTGGCCCACCGGTTTAGCGCCACCTTCAGCCCGGGGTGTGATCCTGGAGACCTGGGATCGAGTCCCACATCAGGCTCCCTGTGGGGAGCCTGCTTCTCCCTCTGCCTGTGTCTCTGCCTCTTTCTCTCTATGTCTGTCATGAATAAATAAATAAAATCTTATTATAAATAAAAAAATAAACTCCAGTATCCTGAGGGAAGGGCTATAAACTATGGGAAGAGGAACATAACTCTGCCTTACCAAGGAATTTTCTGTGGGGAGTGTATCATTTTCAAGCCATACCATAGGCCATACGCTGTGATAGTCAGTCTGACATTCACATTGTCCTTGTCCTCTCAGTGCAGCCTATTAATGAATGACCTAAACTAAAACAAGTGACACAGGTTATGCCAATACTTGTCAGGATAACAAGAGAAAAAAACCTTCTCTCTCTCAGTAATCCACATATAAATGATATAACTGACCCTAGGGCTTATTTTTTAACCCTCAGGATAACATTCTTGAGCAAAGACAATTTTTGGATAAACTGTGTTTCTGGTCCATCTCCATATTATAATTCAGTGAACTCACTCAAACACCATGTCCTTCATGCAAAGAGGGTCTTACCTGTGAAAAGTTGAGCCCATTCAGCGGATGGCACTGCTCTTCCACCTTTTCGACGGCCCCAGTCTGTTTCCTCAGCCGCTCGGCCTCCTGGGCAAGGTACAGGTCTAAGACAGGCACCCCACGGGACTTAATGTCCACTTCAGTCAGGGAGTTGACCATGAGCATCACCCAGATGGGCCTCTTCCGCTCCCAGTTCCCCGCAATGGCATTGAAGAGGTAGTCGGCATAGAGACCTTTGCCCCGCTGGTCTGGGGTCATCCACGAGGGCATCATGAGCTTGACATACTCTAGGTGGCGCTTGAGGCGGCAATAGATGTCCCTGGGGAGCACGTCCTGGAGGTTCTCACCCTGTGGCAACATCTGACAGCTGGTGAGGGCTGAGATAGTGTAGGGGTCCGTGAGGTCCAGCTCGAAGTACACAATGCTGCTCTGCTGAAAAGCCTCCTTGGAGTTGTCGGGGATGAAGTCCCAAACCCGAGTGTACGGAACGTGGATCGTGCCAAAGAAGTAAGACGGTGGGTCTCGCTTTATGGTCCACAAGAAGGAATTCAATTCACTTTGCTGAAAGCAAATAGAAAGGTCGTTAAGTCATGATATGGAAGGTCAAAAACCTGACAGGGGAAAACGAACTGGAGAGACAAGTCACACTGCAGGAGAAAAATGATCAAAGTTCAATTTCGACTTCGGAGTCCAGGTAGAGTCACTGGCCAGCAGCAGGAGTCTCGAGGCAGCATGTTTCTCTCTTCCACCGCAATGCTGATTAAAGTCAAAAAAGTAATAACAGTCCTTGAGCTTGCTCTAGCAATGAGGTAGGGCAGGAGGTAAAGCAGAGAATCTCAAGGGATTCCTAGGACACAGCTGGAACAGATGAAGGGACACGTGAGGAGACCACTGTTACCTCCCAGGCAGGCACACTGGTGGTGCTTGCTTCTTCAGATTCCAAGTCCAACATTCCCAAAATCAGTGGCTCTCAATGGCTGTACATTCTCTCCCAGCAGTTTCACAGGCTGAGCAGCAGAGCGCATCCGCCTGAGGCCAAGCTGTCATGCCCTGAGTGTCTCAGTTTCAACAGCAGGCACTTATGAAGTGTCAGTTTATTAGGAGACCCCTGTACAAAGACGTGCACAGGGCAGCCCTCAAGGACTTCAAGTCGTAGTGTCAGATAGATTCAGGAGGTGAACCATTCATCAAGCAGCCCAGAAAGGTGAAAAATCCAGATTTACAGAAAAGGCAGTTCTTTACAGAAAGCTTTGATTTCAGCAGCTTTTTAAGTGACATGCTTTCCTGGATTGTGGAGTTTCAACTTACAATCAGCTCTCATCATTGTCATAGTTACATTCTACAAAGTCACCACAAACACTGAATTACCAAATAATGAACCACTGCTCCTAGGAGAAATACAAGGGTTAGGTTCCTACAAGCCTCTGGTCACAACATTTTGTTTTGTATGTGCTTTTCAAAGTACCCTATTCAGTATGTTGTTGATTCATTAATAATGACCTCATGGCCAACAGCACTACTATTCATACCTGAACGAAGTTCATCTAACACATACACTTTCTCCCTAAGGCACACCCTCCTAAGCAGCCTCCTGGTGCTTAAGAACACTAGGCAGTATCTATGTTTGGTTATTTTAAACAGTGAGACCACCCACAAAAAAAGCACAAAATTGCAAAAAAAAAAAAATGTAGCATTAAGTAGACCAGCAAAAGGACATTTGTTCACCTATTACGCGTTTGAGAGCTGAAACAAAGCACAGCATCAATTTCTTTGACTTCAGTTGGGAGTGTGTGCATTGGGCGACTCAAGTTTTTCCCAGTTCTGGAACAGCTGCACATGACCATGAAAGTGCCACAAGCATTGGGGTTACAAATCAATTTTAGCAAGTAGGCCAATTCACAAATATGGAATCCACAAATAAGGAGGATCAGCTGTATTTGCATTTGTGTGTTTAAGTAGCAACAACCTATTTTTAAATGAAATGTTACACAGAATCTCAAAATTTACTAAGACAAAAGCTGGTTGATGCAGGGGCCCCATTCCCACAGCTTTCAACCTTCTCTTCTCCTCTTGCCCCCTGGCCATCTTCCACAAAAACAATCCTGAGCACTCAGAGGAGGGCAGAGAACACAAGGGCTGGGCATGAGACAATAGTGGGGAAAGGTGGGCAGTAAATGGGCTCATTTACTGGATAAACACTATTGGCTAAAGCAGCCTAAGCCACTGCTGGCCACACGGGAACAGGCCTAGTGCTCCAGAAGGGCTTTTCAAAAGCAACTAGAAGTCTTGAGTTTAAATAAAATGTTCAAATTAGAGGGGCACCTGAGTGGCTCAGGTGGTTGAGCATCTGACTCTTGATTTCAGCTCAGGTCATGATCTCAGGGTGGTGAGATAGAGCCCCACAGTAGGATCTGCACTGGGTGTAGAGCCTGTTTAAGATTCTCTCTCTCCCGGGCAGCCTGGGTGGCTCAGCAGTTTAGGATCGCCTTCAGCCCAGGGTGTGGTCCTGGGGTCCCGGGGTCGAGTCCCACATCGGGCTCCCTGCATGGGGCCTGCCTCTCCCTCTGCCTGTATCTCTGCCTGTATCTCACTGTTTCTCATGAATAAATAAATAAAATCTTAAAAGAAAAAAAGACTCTCCTGAGGCACCTGGGTGGCTCAGTGGTTGAGCATCTGCCTTTGACTCAGCTGATCCTGGGGTCCAGGGATCAAGTCCCACATCGGGCTCCCCTCAGGGAGCCTGCCTCTCCCTCTGCCTCTGTCTCTGCCTCTCTGTGTGTCTCTCATAAACAAATAAATAAAATCTTTTTTAAAAATTCCAATTGAAATATGTTGCTTCCATTTTCTCAAATGCCACACAAGCCAAACAGAACATATCTCACCAGCCCCCAGCCTTGTGTTTTGTTTTGTTTTGTTTTGTTTTTTAAGATTTTATTTATTTATTCATGACAGACACAGAGAGAGGCAGAGACACAGGCGGAGGGAGAAGCAGGCTCCATGCAGGGAGCCTGATGTGGGACTCAATGCCGGACCTCCAGGATCACACCCTGGGCTGAAGGTGGCGCTATACCGCTGGGCCACTGGGGCTGCCCCTTGTGTTTTTTTTGAAAGTATTTAAGTTAACAATTCTGTTCACACATCACTTTTTCAAGACTGCACTAATTGGTGAGAGGAGCCTAAATTCTGCCTCTGTCTCAGCTACCTCCCTGAGATTTTTAAAAGCCACTTCATTTCTCTGTACCTCAGTTTCCCCATCTTTAAAAGTTAGATAACAAAATCTGTCATAAGTTATGGGGGCAAACAAACTAGACAGGTAATTGTTCAATGAATGGACAAATGAAAGAATATATTTTTAAAACTTATGATTGGATTAATATTAAGAGATGAATCAAGTTCAAGGTCTCCAGCTAGCCTTCAGGCATCCTCTTATGGAGTAATGACTGTCTCGGGGTTATGTAAATAGATCAAAAAGCCAAACAGAAACTCCATCTAAAACAATGGCTGCCAAGGCTAATTAAGCAGTCCAATGCCTGCCTCTGTTTTTTAGAATTAGATAAGCCCATAGAAAAACAGTGGCTAACTAGATGCCAGTTGAAAGCCAAGACTGACGGTTATAGCTTTGGTTCATTTAAAATGGGTCACAAGGGCAGCCCCGGTGGCCCAGCGGTTTAGCGCCTCCTGCAGCCCAGGGTGAGATCCTGGAGACCCCGGATCGAGTCCCACAGTCGGGCTCCCTGCATGGAGCCTGCTTCTCTCTCTGCCTGTGTCTCTGCCTCTCTTTCGCTCTCTGAATAAATAAATAAATAAATCTTAAAAAAAATAAAATAAAATGGGTCACAAAATAATCACCTATAAATGAAACTGGTTTGGTAGAGGTGGCCTTCTAGGCAGAGGTTTCATTTGGCTTATTTGTTCATTCTATAGGGAAGAGTTGCTAATTGCAGGATCCTGAATGGTGATATGACTGGGCATCACTGACCTACAGAAGGGATCTGCTCACACAATTTCCACACATTCTACCAAGGGACTTCTACACAGTTTCCAACTGGGACACACAGCAAAGACCTAAAATGCTATTATTCAATCCATGGAAACTACCTAACTCATTGTCATCTGGTCGGAGACTATGATAGTAAACAAATATATTCCCCAGAAAATCCAGCCCATGCTGCTGCATCATGGTTGGGGTTGGGGCATAGGCAGAGTGGGAGGGGTGGTTCCGTTTCGGTTTGGTTTTGGTCTGTCTTTTCTCGATACCCTTAATCTCCCTAAAGTCTCATCCTACCTCAAAATACCTGTACTTCTCTTTCGACCAAACCTGTTCAACTGTAGGTATTCATTTTTATTTAATTATTTATTGCTGCCTTGTCGATTAGTATTAGTCTAGAAATGGAGTTGTCAGATGATCTTTTTGCTGAAATGCTCATATTTAAAAAAAAAAAAAAACAACAACAAGACTCATGTTCTGGCATCCAGCTACATCGTAACAATAATGACGCTAAGAACAGCCAGCTGTTATTAAATGTTCACTGTGCACCAGGAAAACCCAAGCATTGCACACAAATGCTCCTACTACATTTGTTTGGCATGCACTTATTCTACAATTATTTATGCAGCACTTACTGTGTGTCAGGCACTATTGTAGGCATGAGACACAGCGGTTTTCTAGAGCACTAGAAACATAATAGTGAGTGAAAAACAGGTCCCTGCCTCAGTGATATCTGTTGTGAAGAATGTGAAAGCAGGAGAGGGAACAAGGAGTACTGGTGGAGGAGATAATCAGTCTTAAATAGGGTGATCATGTTTGGTAGGAGATTTAGGCCTTGCTGTGAAGGCAGGTGAAAAGGCAAACCAGGGGGAGAGCTGAGAGAAGACCATTCCCTCCAGGAAGAGGGAACAGCAGTGCAAAGGCCCCAAGGCGAAAGTTTCTAGCAAGGATGCCATCATAACTCCAGCAGGATGAGTGAACAGGAAAGCAGGAGGAAATGTCAGAGAGGCGAGCAAGACCAGGCCACACTAAAGCTAGGGCAGGCTTTTGTGAGAGGAGCAAGATGAGCTGACCTAATGTGTGAACAGGATCACTCTGGTGGCCATGAAGAATAGACTACGGAGGGATCCGGGCAGATGCAAGGAAGTCAGTTAGAAGTTTCCAAAAGAATCCAAGCAAGAGAACACAGTGGTAGTGACAGAACTGAGATATGTTCAAGTTCTGGATATACTCCAAAAGCTAAAGCTAATAATAGGACTTGCTGATGAATCAGTTAATTAAAAGGATGAAGTTGCCATCAATCAAGATAGAGGAGAGAAGGGGATGGGACAAGGGCAGAGGGGAAGTTCAGAAAACTGGCCTGGGCCCTGTTGAGTCAAGATGTCAAGCAATCAGGTGGGGAAGTTGAACTGGTAGGTGGATGCAAGAATCTGGACTTTGAGAGAGGCCTGGGTCAGAGATAAAAACGGGGTAATGTCACTATTTAGATGTTATTTCAGGGGCAGCATGCGTGGCTCAGCGGTTTAGCGCCACCTTCAGCCCAGGGCCTGATCCTGGAGACCCGGAATCGAGTCCCACATCGGGCTCCCTGCATGGAGCCTGCTTCTCCCTCTGCCTGTGTCTCTCTGTCTCTCATGAATAAATAAATAAAAATAAAAATCTTTAAAAAAAATAGATGTCGTTTCAAATAATGGAACTGAATAAGATGTCCAAGGGACTATGTGTAAATTAGAAAGGAAAGGTCTAGGGGGCACATGGGTGGCTCAGTGGTTGAGCATCTGCCTTTGGCTCAGGTCGTGATCCCAGGGCTCTGGGATTGAGTCCTGCATCAGGCTCCCCACGAGGAGCTTGCTTCTCCCTCTGCCTCTTTCTGTGTGTCTCTCACGAATAAATAAAATCTTTAAAAAAGAAAAAAAAAAAAGAAAGAAAAGAAAAGGTCTAGAAATAAGCCAACCTTGCAAAGTCAAGGTACAGAAAAGCAGCCAGCAAAAGAAAATGAGAGAAGTCGTTGTCGAGGATGCTAGGAAAATCCAAAGAGTAGGAAGCCAATCAAAGACAGAACTTCAAGGAGGAGAACGTAAGTGAGGGGGCTCAGTGTGGCTGATGGGCCAAATGAGACAAGGATTTGAGGACTGACCTCTGGATGGAGCAACACAGGGGACCTATTGGTGGCATGATGGGGCTGAAAGCCTGCCAGGCACCTATTCAGGAGAAAACGGGAAGAAAGGCAATTGAGAGGATATCCAATTAGTTAAGGCGCTGGCCATTTCCATGTGCAGAAACAGACCTTGAGAGGTTTATGAGGTTACCCAAGGTCCCATCGCTGCTGCAGGCAGGCTGGCTCCTGCGTTTGAAATACCATATTATGTGACCTTAAAATGCAACACACTTTACTCATGATTCACCATCCTTTTTTTCCATGAATACTCTAAGAGGTGCACAGTTGCTCAGGAGCATTTCCTGACTCTGAATCTGAAAAGACTCTGTCCAAGTCCCCAGGACCTCCCCCCAAAAAATCCACACCAACATTTTTAAATCATCACACTGCCAACTTTTCCCATTCTGTCTTTTCAAAATAATACGACTGGGGGGGGCTCCCACTTTTTTAAGCCAGGGGTTTTAAAGTGTTTTTAAAGAAATATTCCTCATTTTATGCTTCTTTTTTTTTATTTTTTTATTGGAGTTCAATTTGCCAACATATAGCATAACACTCAGTGCTCATCCCGCCAAGTGCCCCCCTCATTGCTTATAGGGCTTCTTTGATAAATGGAGTTCTGCTCTGACCAAGTAGTTACTCTCTGTCCCACGCTGCACCAGCCAACCCCCGAGCTGGCCACTGACAAGGCCCTGCCGGGCATGCCCTGGATAGAGCAGAAGCTGAAGGAAAAGTCTTCAGGGCTTCTGATCCAGGAGCTCTCCTCGTGCCTTTGCCCACCAGCAAGCTCCCAGGCCTCCACACTGGTCCTCTGGGTGCAACTACCCCTGCCTCCCTTATCCTCAGGGGTGGAGCTGTTTCATCTCCACAAAAGGAAGAGAACAAAACCATTCTACTACCCCATTTCAGGGTACAAACTGCGGCCACCACATGTTACTAGTTGAAGCCATGTGTTTAAACATTATGACTGAACAGAATAAACACTTAACACCATTAACATGTCCCTTCTGAACGTTGCTGATAATGGCACTTTTCCAGTAGTACTCTTCAGCAGACCAGCTAGAATGATACCAAAGTGAGTTGGCTTTAGCTGACACTTGTTTTTCAACAAATATTATTGAGAATCTTCTGAGCACTGGTGATGCAGTAGCAAACCAAACAGACGAGTGAACATTCCTACCCTTATGAAAATCACATGGCAGGTAGGGGAGCAGTGGCAAACAAATTTTTATCAGTTAAGTGCTCCGGAAAAAAAATAAAGCAGGAGAGGCAGCCAGGAGGGCAGATGGGTCAGGGGTTTGATGTAATCTTTAATAGATAATCAGGAAATGTCTCTGAAACAATCTGAGCAAAGGCCAGATACAAGTATGGGAGCAAGCATGTGGATATTTGGGGGAAGAAACAGCACATGTCAAAGAATACAGGCAGGAATAATCAAGAACACTCAGGAGTTCTGTTTGAGTTTAGATAAGGAAGAGACAACCTGTGTGGTGCTCAGCGCAAACTGGCAGTGTCTGCAGACAGATAGCTTGGAAGTCCTCTCTGTAATGATTAACAAAAATCAAACACCAAACCAGCTCTCAGGCCACGGTATGCTACATGGTAAGCTGCTGCAAGTGGATTGGAGGCTGGATTCCAGAGCTTTTACTCTAAAATCTAAAGACTCCAACCTCCTGGGGCACCCACTCACAGTGGCCTCTCCCGAGCAGGTCAAGCATACAGCCCTGCCATTGACTGACCTGACCTCCAGGGGATAAGACAGTTTGCCCATATAGAATAAAACAGATTTTTCAAAATGTGGTCCAAGGACCTGTAGCTGTCCCCAAGACCCTCCTGAGCAGTCTGTAAGGTCAGAACTATTTCAGTGATAATACTAAGATATTTTCCCCTTTTGATTTCATTCTCTCACGAGTGTACAAACAGAATTTTCAAGAGGCTACAGGCGTGTGATGTCATCACACGCCTGTAGCCTAATGGCTATGATGCTTAATGGCATTGTGCTTACGAATTCTTGTGTTTTATTAATATTTCCATTAATCCACACACATAAAGGCTCTTAGGAGTCCCCAATACTATTTTAGAATGTGGAGGGGCCCTGAGATCAAAAAGTTTGAGAATTGAGAGAGTGAAAAAGGCCATGAAAACAGGTTCAAGCATCAAGAGACAGGAGACTTTATCAAGACTCACTTGTCACACTATAATTACGAGTGGATTTGCAAAAGTGAAAAACGTTTGCTTTCCTAAGAAAGGGTGGACTTTTGTTTTGGGTAACAAGAGCGCAGCTGCCTTAGCACAGAGCTGAGAACTATCCAGGCTGCGGAGTCCCGCTCTCCAGCCACCGCGCCTCCTGCCTTCCTAGCCGGAGAGTCTCCGCGTGTCTGCAGCCCGGGACGCCTTAGCGAACTCAGTGTGACTCCCCGGTCAGCCCAGGGGGCCAGGAAGGCTCAACTGGGTCACTCCCTTGCTGTCGTTAGGACGATGAATAAAATTACCACGAGCCTGAGTGACGCCCGCCCCCAACCTCCGCCGCCCAACCCCGCCGGTGCTGCGCAGGGGTCACCGAAGGTGGGCCGACCTTGCGTCTGAGAGCGCACAGGCATCCAAAGGACGGGCCAGACCTTAGGATCACCGTCCCCAGCCCCAGAGATCCAGAGATCCAGAGATCAGATACATCACATCCACAAGTACAAACACAAAATTCGACCTCTACGGAGCTCGAAAGAGAAGAACATGAGAACGACAGAAATTTCCAACAGTAAAAAAAAACTGACCAGGAAAAGGAAACCTGCGTCTCGAAAGAGGGCCAGCCTCGGAGACGCTAGAGCTGTCGGACTTCCGCTCGGCTCCGGCTCCTGGAGGGCTGGGTGGCCCTGGGCAGGTCACCGGGGCTTCCTCGCCCGGGTTCCCCTCGCCTGCAAAAGGCTGATGCGAAGGTCTAGGGAAGCGCCTGCGCCTGAGCCGGCGGCTGTCAGATGCGGTTACTCCGCGAACGCGCTCCGCGACGTGGGGCCCAAAGGTCCCGCTCTGAGCCTCAGTTTCCCCGACCGGTAAAACAAGGGGAATGGCTTCAGCTCCCCCCAAATCCTTTCTAACTCAGGCACTGAGCTTAGGAAGGTCAAATCAAGCAGCTGCAGGGCGCTTTTACCATCTCGATAAGAGCAGGAGAAATTCAGCGCTCGGAAGAGAGGGCGGAACAAACTCCCGAAGTAAACGTGCCAAAGTCCCTGCACCGCTCGGGTCTTGGCAGGCTCCTCTGCCCGATGTCCCCTAACGCCCGCGAGGCAGGCTGGAGAGCCCCAGGAGACCCCGCCGGGCCTCCCCTCCGGCCGCCTGCCCCATGGGCGAGGGCTGGGGACAGGGTCTCCGCCAGGAGAGGGGACCCGGAGCGCGGCGGGACGCGCGGGCGAAACGGCGCGGCCGGGGGAGGTGGCTCGCGATCCGAGGGCGAGGTGCTTCGCCGGCCTGGGAAGGGGACGAGCCCCGCGAGGTGCGGGGCAGCCGCCTGCCGGCGCCGGGCGCCCTACCTGGGGCTGGAGCCCGCAGTCGGCGGAGGCGGAGGCGGGCGCGCCGCGCCGCGGGGCTGCGCTCGCGGGCAGGAGGCAGAGGGTCGGCAGCAGGAACCAGCTCCAGGGACTCATCCTCCCACCGCGGCTCCGGGGCCCGGCTCGCGGGGGAAGGAGCAAGGCAGCAGCGGCCCCCCAGCCCGGCTAGCCGGCGGCCGCGGAGCTGCGGACAGGCGGGGCGCGCTCCATGCGCGCGGGGCTCGGGGGCCGCGGGCGCTGGCCGGCAGCTCGCTCTGCCGCGGGTCGGGCCGCCTGCGGGCGGGGCCGGGGGAGCCGGGCGGGGGGAGGCGGGCGGCGGCCGCGAGGGGCGGGCCCTGACCTCCCAGCCCCTGCCCCGCGCCCCCCACCTGGGGAGCCGGCCCGGAGGGAAAAGTGAAGTTCCAGCCCCGGCTCCCAGCCTCGTGCAAGACTCCTGCTGGCTCCCACCCTCACGTCTGTATTTACGCTGCCAGTTCTGAGGGTGGCTCTTGATTGAAAGGGACAGCCCGGAGAAACAAATGATAGGCTACTTTTTCCAAGGAAAGTTCTTTTCAACAAAGGAAATGGCATACAAGCTTCGCCTGTAAAGGGGGGGGATAGTATGTGCCTACACTTAAAAGTCTGTGACCACAAAAGCCAGCACTCCATTAAGTGTCCTCTTAGGGACTTGGGGTAATAAAATTAAGGATGTGAACACCAAACTCGGATTACTCCACAGATTAAATGAGGACATTTATGGAGAGCATCTTGTTTGATGTACTAGGAGGCCTGCAGAATGTGTTTGCTCCCTTTCTGCCCCAAATTTTCCAAGGGCCTCTTCACGTCATTGATCCTTCTGGAAGGAAAAACCGTGAAAGCAACTAGCTATGCCCAGCCTCTGTCGCCTCCTACCCAGGGCCTGAGGGCACTTTACCAGCCTTTCTGTATAGCCCAGCTTACCCGGGATCACCTTCCCAGCCAACCTAGCAGCAGGGGTTCTTAATTGTGTAAGTCACGGTCCATTTTGAGACTCCAGTAGAAACTGGAAGTATGGGGCCGCTGGGTGGCTCCGTGGTTGAGCGTCTGCCTTTGGCTCAGGTGTGATCCTGGGGTCCTGGGGTCTTGGGATCGAGTCCAACGTCAGGCTCCTCACAGGAAGCCTGCTTCTCCCTCTGCCTATGTCTCTACCTCTCTGTGTGTGCCTCTCATTAATAAATAAACAAAATCTTTTTTAAAAAATCTTTATTAGGGGATCCCTGGGTGGCGCAGCGGTTTGGCGCCTGCCTTTGGCCCAGGGCGCGATCCTGGAGACCTGGGATCGAATCCCACATCGGGCTCCCGGTGCATGGAGCCTGCTTCTCCCTCTGCCTGTGTCTCTGCCTCTCTCTCTCTCTCTGTGACTATCATAAATAAATAAATAAGATATAAATTTTTAAAAAAAATCTTTATTAAAAGAAAGAAAGAGAGAGAACCTGGAAGCAAAGTGGGGGAGGGGGTTGGGGAGGCACAGTGGCCAAGATTTACACACAATGGGAGGAGCTTCCTGAATGTCAGGCATCCGTCTACCGTCCTCCAGTAAAGAACTCCTGGCTTTAAAAAGCCAAGTTTTTCAAGCTTTCACTCCATGGGTGTTGAAGTTACAAGTGTTTTTGTGAAAATGCTAAGTTTTTCCTGTTCTAAGTTTCAGTGAGGATTTGCTTTCTGGAGTCGGCCCCTCCTGCCTTCAAAGGACCCCCTTGGCAGCCTGGCAGCAAACCTTGGCCCCTCAGCCCACCCCAAGTGCCCCGCGGCTGGGGTTTTCAGGTTGCCAGCACTGCCACCTACTGGCAAGAATAGTCTCTCTGGCTGTAAGATGAAAGCATCCGGAACTTTCATTTCATACTTTCCCCTACTCCAAAGGAAGGCTCAACAAATCAACTGGGGCTAGAGGGAAGAAGGGGTGGGGGGCAAATGTGTGACAGAATGAGAATGAGTTTGTTAGTTTTCTGTTGTTTGTCTCTTTCCCATTCCCTTGATTCCTGCTCTTTATGATTTCCTTCCTTTTACTTACATTAAATTTATTTTGCTCTTCTTTTTCTAGCTTCTTAAAGAGTGATGTTAAGTTGTTAGCTTTAGGGATCCCTGGGTGGTGCAGCGTTTTAGCGCCTGCCTTTGGCCCAGGGCGCGATCCTGGAAACCCAGGATCGAATCCTACGTTGGGCTCCCAGTGCAGGGAGCCTGCTTCTCCCTCTGCCTCTCTCTCTCTCTCTCTCTCTCTCTCTCTCTCTCTCTGTGACTATCATAAGTAAATAAAGATTTAAAAAAAAAGATTTAAGTTGTTAACTTTAAAATTTCTTATCTAATAGAAGCATGTTAAAGCTATCAATTTCCCTCAGGCACTGCTTTAGCTGCATTGCCCAAATTTTTTGAAAAGCTGTATTTTCATCATCATTCAGTTTGGAATACTATTTTATTTTATTTTATTTTATTTTATTTTATTTTATTTTATTTTATTTTATTTTATTTTATTTTTTTGAGAGAGAGTGCGTAAGCAAGAGAACACAAGTAGGGGGAACAGCAGAGGGAGAGGGAGGAGCAGGAAGCCCAAGCCCTGCAGGACCTAAGATCATGACCTGAGCCAAAGGCATCCACTTAAATGACTGAGCCACCCAGGCACTCCTGGAATATTTTCTAATTTCCCTGGAAGCTTTTTTCTTTGACCATGGATAGTTTAAAAATACATTCCTTAATTTTCAAATTATGGATTTTTCTGAGACATCTTATTATTGATTTCTGATCTAACTCCACTCCGGTATTAAATGCTGATTTCTGATCAGCATTTAAATATGATATTGGGAGATGTGGAAGAAACCGTAACTACTATAGAAATTGATGAAGAAACATATGAAGAGATATATAAAATTTCTTCAATGTAACCTTAATGACATCTAGATTCTCACATCTCGCTTGTGCATTTAATCTGTTATGATATGTTATAGTTGAAGAAAATCCAGCCTCACAGAGATGTAGTTAGAAAAAGGAAGAGTAGAGATGCCTGGGTGGCTCATTGGTTGAGCGTCTGCCTTCAGCCTAGGGTGTGATCCCGGAGTTCCAGGATCAAGTCCCGCATTGGGCTCCCTGTGCTTCTCTCTCTTCCCTCTGCCTGTGTCTCTGCCTCTCTCTGTGTGTCTCTCATGAATAATAAATCTTTTAAAAAAAATCTGAGAACATACTCTGTATGATTGCTAACATTTTGTATTAACTGGAACTTGTTTTATGGCCCAGGATGTGGTCATACACTGAATTTGAAATGTCTAGCATATGAACAATTTTATTTGGTTCCAATATTTTTTTAGGTGGAGCTTCCTGCCTTAGACCATTATTAGGTGAAATTTATTCTGTAAGATACTCAATGTCCAAACATTCAACAGAATCACATCTACTGGGTGGCTCAGTGGTTGAGAGTCTGCCTTCAGCTCATAGCATGATCCCTGAATCCCAGGATCGAGTCCCATGTCGGGCTCCCTGCATGGAGCCTGCTTCTCCCTCTGCCTGTGTCTCTGCCTCTCTCTCTCTCTCTCTCTCTCTCTCTCTGTGTGTGTGTGTGTGTGTGTGTGTGTGTGTCTCTCATGAATAAATAAAAATCTTTTAAAAAATCCCATCTACTCTCTATACATTGTCTGTACAGACATTCCTGAGTCTGCTATCACTTTACCATGCAGCCCCAGACCTGGTGACAGGAAGGCTGGCATGACCAGGTCCTCGCCTTTCTTCAAGGCTGATGGCCTTCCTGGCTTCCCCTTTGTGCTTAGGAAAGAGATGCTAAATGTCCCCTCTCTGCCTATCCACCGAGGCTCTGTATCCAGTTCAACTCAAGTGAGTATTGTTCTTGCATCCAATTGCTTTCTTGCTGCTTTTTGTTTCTCCTTCATGTACAGTTGATAACCCAGCAAACTTCCTAGGTCCATCTACTCATAAGTTCCTTTTGTGCTCCTACCAATGGATTCCTGAATTTACACAAGACTGTGAGGCTCAGTCCCTTCACAGGAATCACCTGAGGAAATTAGCCCCTGGAGGCCTATTTGTTCTTTCCCAATAATCAGATCTTCCCTCAAAAACAAGGTTTTCAGGGTGCACAGAGGATTTGCAATGGCTTCCACCACCCCTCTGTGCCTTTGCCCAGCCTCGCCAGGCCAGCCTGGCTTGACCAACATGCAGCCATCCAAATCCTGAATCACTTACCACACTGCACGTTTCCCAAGATGGTCAGGACAGCTCAGGTGTGAAGGGTAGGTCCTTTGATCCTGCCTCCTTGTATTCATACTTTTAACTGCCTTGAGTGTGAGCAGGACCTGTGCCTTGCTTCTAACCCATGGAAAGTGACAAAGATAGTGGGATGTACATGATTACTTATATGGGATTACCCAAGAGCATGGAGATTGGCAAATCTGGCTAGAGTCTCTCCTCCATTGCCATCTTTGATGAAGTAAGCCTCATCATGAGTCTTACAGCCATGGGGAAATGAATTCTGCCAACAACCTGAGTGAGCTCAGAAGTTGATCCTTCCTCCAGTAGAACCTTTGATGAAAGCCCAGTCATGGGTAGCACCATGACTGCAGCCTGTGTTCCCCTACGCAGATGACCCAGTTAAGCCATGCCTGAACGCCTTATCCAGAGAGACTGTGAGATAAGAAATGCATGCTCTTCTAATCCACTGGGTTAGTGATTTGTTACACAGCAACAGAAAACTAATTTACCAGGGTACCTGAGTGACTCTGTAGTTGAGCATCAGCCTTTGGCTCAGGTCATGATCCCGGGGTCCTGGGATCAAGTCCTGCATCTGGCTCCCCATAGGGGGCCTGCTTCTCCCTCTGCCTGTGTCGCTGCCTCTCTCTGTGTGTCTCTCATAAATAAATAAATTAAATCTTTAAAAAAAAGATAAAGAAAACTAATACAGCAGGTGAAATGGTGTGCCAGGAATTGCCAGGTATTCCAGCCGGGTGCTACAGCATGAATGTGTGCTCAAAATGGCCTCCGAAGACCTGCCTCCTGCATGTCCAGGCCTTCTGGCTCCATGCATTCTCAAAAGGGGACCAAAGCCTTGCCACCCTCTCTTGGTCACCCGGTATCGGCTCCAGAATTTCTAAGTGGGAAAGGGTAGCAATTATCCCACAGCTGCATTTGCTCAACAAGTACACTGTGTGTACCTAGGTCCTGGGAAAGAGAAAACCTCCCCTGACAGCAGGGAGTGGTCTAGCTTTATCAGTGAGGTCTTG